TATATATATATATCTGTAAATTTTAATAATATTAAATATTGATGCAACATTAGAAGCTATAAAGTCAATGCGAATATAAAGATGCATTTTGGATGCAAGTGTTAAGGTTTGATGAAATCTCAGTAAGATTAAATTATTCATAATATAAAAATAAAATTAAAAAAAAATAAAATAAAATAATAGCATAGCTAACTGCCCATTAGAATGACTAAGCAGATATGGAAAATATAATTATTTGATTAAAAAAATTAATAAATTAGAAATTAATGTTTGTCCTCTCCTTAGTATTACATCACGGGATGGTGCGTTGGTCTCCGGTCAGCGAAGCCATCGTGTCCGTAGCTTTCATCCTGACTTGTTGCTGAGCAGCTTCGTGGGCCGAACCAGCTTAGATTAAGTTTAGTTAGGTGAGTTCATTAAATCATATTCCAATTTTTTTTATTAATTATGAGAGAAATTTGCATGGATAAAATTTAAAATTATTATATTTATATGCTTCAAAAATTTTGTACCTTCTGGTTAAACACAATGCAAGTAGATTAAAAATTTTTTTTTTGGATTTTTTGAGTTTACTCATTCCTCGTGGGAACGATACGGGAATTTAGTTCTGTATGTTATTTGGACGACACATATTCTTGCATGTATTTACCGATGCTTCTCAACATTTCGGTCGTATCAAATTTTTGGCGTCGTTGTTGGGGAACAACATTAAATTTCAAATTTTAGAAAGATGTTAGTTGAACCCTTAGACTTTAGATTTGAAAATGATCGTGTCGTACTTTTTTATGTAGCTTATTTGCAATTTTTCTATTTTAGAAAATAAATGAAGGTTCTTTGTTGTTGCTATTTTTATTTTATGTATACACTATTGCTTGACTTTATTTTCTGTGAATGTTGCTTGTGTATTATTGTTTCTCGTTATTTTGTTTTTCACCTTAGACCTAAAACATGAGCCAACCTGAGGTCTAACTTAACTTAGACCCAAATAACAACCTTCCTATGTCTAACCTTAGACATAGCTCAATCCTTTCGGTATAACTCACATTAGACTCAAGGATTGGGTCTAGCTCACATTAGACTCAAGTATCAACCAACTGTTTAGGTCTAACTTACCTTAAACCTAAAACATGAGCCAACCTTGGGTCTAACTTAACTTAGACACCCAAACATCAACCTTCCTATGTCTAACCTAACTTAGACATTGCCCAATCCTTTGGGTCTAACCCACATTAGACCTGAGTATCAACCAACTCTTTAGGTCTAATACACCTTAGACCAAAAACATGAGCCAGCCTTGGGTCTAACTTAACTTAGACCCAAACATCAACCTTCTTAGGAATAACCTAATTTAAAACTAGCACAATCCTTTGGGTCTATCCCACATTGGACCCAAACATCAACCTACTTCCTCAATCTAGCCTACATTTGACCTAACCCTAAAATTTATGTCTAACCCACATTTGACCAAACCTAAACCTCTTAGGTCTAACTCACATTAAACCTAGTCCAAATTTTTATGTCTAACCAACATTAGACCTAGTCCAACCTTTTAGGTATAACCCACATTAACCCAATTCAACTAATTCACCAGGTCAACCTGACCTAACTCGGGTAAACACAATTCAACTGATTCATTGGATCAACCCAACCTAACTCGGGTTAAGCCAATTCAACTAGTCCATTGGGTCAACTCAACCTAACTCAGGTTAACCCAAGTAAAATTTTCTCTGGGTCAATCAGACTTAACTCGGTCGATATTTGAGACTCAATTCAAGCATAGATTAAGTCTCAAACCAAGCTTAATCAATGATTGATTTGCGCCTAACCTAAGTTAAACTTAAAAGATAACTCTAGTCTAAATTAACTTAAATTTCATCCAAGTCTACTTAAACTCATACTTGATTCGACCCAGGAGGTTAAATTTGGATCAGCTTAGCTTAACCTAGTTTGGTCCCAAGTTAACCCGACTTGGTTTAACTTAGCTTACTTTAAGCCAATATTAACCAAGTAAAACTAGTTTGACCCATAATCAAACTAAGTCAACCTGGGTCAATCCTCTTAAACATTGGTTAGCCTAAACAAGTTTGAAGATAATTTGAGGGAAAAACAAACTAACTCAGGTTAACTTGGATTACCTAGAGATCAGTTCAACCTAACTTGAACCAATCTAAGATTTACTTAGACCAAGGTGACTGAAGTTTAATGAGTGTTTGACATATCGTTTGAGAACAAAAGCATACTTAGCCTTGGTACGGGACAATTTGGCCATGGTACAAACCATTCTAAACAAAACAACTTAAAATTCACCCTAAAATCTACTAAAACTTAAACTAAAAAATGCAACCTATTTTGAGAAGGTATTTTGGAGAAAGCAACCCAAGGTTATTAAGAAAATATCTTCCAGTTAGTTGTGATTAATCAAACTGCAAACCAAGATGACCCTGGGATGATGAAACTATGGGATCTTGGCCTAGTCATCCTAAAGAGCAAAAATAAAACACAAAACAATAAAACAAAAAAAAAATGAATCAGCTGAGAAGTCTTAAGCAACTTAAAATGTTCAACCTCTAAATTCTAAAAAAGTCATTACAACTTAAATGAAACCCTAATGAATAAACAACACCAAATAAAACTTGAACCCCAGTTACCAAAGTTTACGAATATCTATTGGACGACGCAACCCATGAATTTTGACAGAAATCTTCTGATCGGAGTAGGTTTGACCACCTCTCAGACTATATAGATCAAAGAACCTAACAATCCCGATCGGATAAAAAGCCATGGGTATATTGACTGGGTTGTCCTAAACAAAAATAAAAACCAACCAATTGAATCAAAAGATATTTTATGCTAACTCCATTTTGCAAGGCTGCTAAAGACAAAAGGCAGACGTCAACCTAGATTTATTTTACATGTTATTAGCGTATGCTAACTCTGTATTGCAGAGACAGACATTCAAAAACAAGAGAAAAAAATAAACCCTAATTAAACCATTGACAAAAAAAAAACTCTATGATAGTTCATAATCTTTAAGAATCCACTACTTTTAGGATAGGAATTTGAAATTTCTTTTATTGACAATGACATTCAATTTTTTTGAGGAAAAACTACAATCTTAATCAAAAGTTTTCTTAATTAAACCTTAGTTGCTTAAGATGTAATTAACTATAGAGACTTGCTCATATAAGAATAAGGGAATCCCAGAACAAGTACAACAATCTGAATCTCTGGTTGTGGGTTTGTTTTCGTCGGGTCTTCTCTGCGCGCCTCTGAAGTGTCTTCAACCGATTTTACCATGGACATACACTTTGGAGCTATCTACACGAAATCCAACTCACGAAAGTTTCCCCACGTGTTTTTATTATTCGTTCCCGTCATTGTATACCTTAACCCTTAGACCTCTTCCTTCTTCAGATCACCCACACAATCAGAGAAAGAGAGAGAGAGAGACTATACGACGGAAAATAAACTGGCGACTCCACAACAGCAACGATGACGATGACGACCGTTCTCGTGAGCGTAACAGCGCATCAAGTGAGGTCAACAGTTTTCCATCAAGAAAAATCCAAGTAGATCAATCATCAAGCACACCCGTAAAAGAGGTTGGCCATCAAGCACAATGCCCTAAATATTTAAATCTTAAAATTATCTCAAGTATCTAAAGCTGAATTTTGTTAATCAAAGAAAGTTTTTAAAGCAACACATCCCCCTCTTGTTCTCTCTTTCCCACTTTGCTTTCTTGCTTTTCCTTACAATTTTGGATAAAAAAAGCTTAAAAGATGCAATATGCAAAAGCTTTGACATTTTAATAAGAAAATGTAATATTATGTTATTTTTATAATTACAAAGAATATATAATTTTATACAATTTTTTTATATCATCAAATTCACAACTTCAAATTATGTAAAAATAAATTATAAAATACTACTTCATGTTTAGAATGCTTTTTTGAAAACAACATATGATAGGATATCAAATGATTCAAAAAAATTTATTTGTATCAACTCCTAAAATTATCTATTAAGTATTTAAGGAATCTAGCACCATTTCTTAGTCAGAAGTTTTAAAAAGTATTTTGAGCTTTCTTTTATGAGGGATTAAAGAGAAACTGAGGTAAATTTAACATTTTCTCATTTATGAGCTTTCTTTCCATTATTTCTCCTTCCCTCTCATTGATGCAAGCAAGGATCCGGTCTTCTAATGTAACTAATATGATGATTAGTATGACTTCAAGCAAACACAATCTAAATTAACACTGCATTGGAATTACATGAAGCATGTAAGATGGATCTAGAGTTCAAATTTGACAAAATAACACTGCATTGGAAAAACATCGTTGAGATTTTCAGTTATTAGGGTAAATGCTTATTGAAAATTTCAAAATTAAAACTTTCACACATATAACCCTGAATTTTAAAAAAGAAAAAAAAGCATAGATTGTAAATCAGTTTTATGACAACCTTTTGGTTTATTGAAGAAAATCCGCAAGAACTGCCTTTGACGGGAGCGAGAAGATCCGCGAGAACTGGCTTCGGACAGAAAAGATCCGGCTTCGAACGGAGAAGAACCGGCTTTGACGGGAGCGAGGCGAGGGGAGCGAGACGAGAAGATATGGCTTCGATGGCAGCGAGAGGAGAAGATCCGGCTTCGAGGAGAACGAGAGGAGAAGATCCGGCTTCGACGGGAGCGAGGGTAGAAGATATGGCTTCGACGACAGCGAGGGAGAAGATCCGGCTTCAACGAGAGCGAGACGACAAGATCCAGCTTCGACGAGAGACAGAGGACAAGATCCGGCTTCGACGGGAGGGCGAGGAGGAAGATACGGCTTCGAACAGGGAGGGGGGGCGCGGGAGAGGGAGGGAAAAAGGAAAAAGGCAATGTCACGGGAGAGGCCAAGGTCACGGGTAGCGATCCATCAGGGTTAATGCGGAAAAAATAATTGCGAAATGCGGACCGCAGGGGTCAGCCGGTGGTCCGCGTGTTTTAGAAAATCAAAAACGCGTTTTTAAATAATTTGTGAATAAGTGCGAACCAAACGGTATGACGGCGTTTTCAAAACGCCGCCCGCCCTTGGTAAGCTGTCCCAAACGGGCCCTCAATCTAAAAAGTTATTAGATTATAATTTTGATTGAATAAATTTTTATTTTGATATATTGAAAGTAATCATATATTATAGAGTATTGATATTACTATTGCTTAGCTCAAATTAAAGACGAAGTAAAACTTAAGGGTAGGCTTGGGGTGGCTGCAGCTTTTTAAAACGGTGTTTGTAAAGCTATGGTAGAGAAAACAATTATTTAGAAAGTTGTAATGAGAATTAAAAAATAAATATTTTTTTTTACGAGAAAGCCAGCGTTCTTAAAACATCGAACTTTAACATATCAGAATAAAAAAATATAGCTTAGCACTAAAGAAATTTCTAAAAAGCAGAAATAAATCAAATTCCCAAATGGAACTATGATGGTGGTATGAAACACAAAAAAATATAAAATTGTCCTGAACAAACCCCTAACTTGTACACAAACCATTTCTTTCAATTATCAAGTAAATTAAAAATAGGAGCTTGAGTTAAAGTTTGTTGAGCCAAAAATTACTCTAAATTTAGGGAATGTTTGGGGCAGCTGCAACTTATTGAATAATTTGAAGATAAGCTAGGTGCGATGACTATTATAAATTTTTATTTTCTTATAAAAGTCAGACCGCTGCCAGAAAGTTGTCATCGGTGTGAAAACACTATTTTCAGTGTTTTGAAAATGCATAAGCTGCTAAAAAGCAGTTTACCCAAAATGGTCAGGTGCATTTTCAAAACGTCACCGCACCTAATAAGCTGCCTCAAACGGGCCCTTAATGTTTTTTTTCTATTAAGGCAAATTATTTGTCCCATAAATATACAAACACACCTTTATAAATTTATTTAAGCTCTTTCATTTCAAGATGAACATGATTATCCATTATTGTTCAAGTGAAATTTACAATCCTACCCATTTTTACACTCCATCGCCTTTTTTTCTTCCCCCTTGCCCATTGCTTTATAATGATATTGAATTTGACTTGAAAGATATGACGTTGAAAAATAAAATAAAAAAAGATTTATAAATTGAACCTAGCCTATATTGGACACGGGGCCAGAATAGGTTAGGTTTGGTGACACTCGCTTTCCATCACCGCTCATAAAGTGGTCGTCTTTATAATTGAGAATGTCGGAGAAGTATAATCTTGGGAAATTCATACACCTATCACACAATTATTATATATTTACATATATGTTGTGCTCAAAATTTGTTATTTATATTTATGGCATTTTGGTGAGGTAAATACGCAACATTGCGTACGTAAAAGAAATTAATCAGAGGGCGCGTTATACCCCCTGTAACATTTATGTAACCTACCTGTACCTTCTAGTAAGTTCCGCGCTTCTGTTTTCATATATTTATAGGTTACACGTAGATTATAGAAATGTTATAGAGGGTATAACGTGGATATTAACCTTCCTGACATACGCAGCGTTGCGTACGTTTAGTGCATGCAAATTTCTCTCTATATTTAGGCATAAAAAGGTTGTTTTCTCTTTTTAAAAAATAGTAATAGTGATACTTATCATATCATATTAAAGATTTAAGTGTTATGTGTAAATATAAAAATTTCGGTGGTAAATATATAAATATATAAGAATTGTGTTGTATGTCGTTTAACGTTTAAGGAAAATAAAAGATTATAAAGAAACTGATATTTTTTTGAAGCTGTTAAAATATTTTGAGTGTTGCAAAAATATAAATATGAAACTTTGGTATTCGATATATAAATACATGAAAATTGTGTGGTATGTGTGTAAATGCTTCTGCTTTATCTTATGGGGGAGGCAAATATACTTTGGCTTACAAAAACATTATGTCTAGTTAAACAAATTTTATTTTATTAAACTCAGACTAGAGGAAACTTACAACTGACAAGCAGATGTCCGACCAACTGATCCGAATACGCACACAATATATATATATACGTGACACATGGTGGGTGGTCACTCGGCTCTAGCATTTTGATGTAACACAATTAGATTTAAAACATACTAAAAAAAAGGTATGCAGAGTAGATCCATTTCTAAGTGAGTAATCATATACTTGCTCTTGCCATAATAAATATTATCACAAACTATAAATTAAAATAGTTAATTATAGAAATCCAAGCAATTAATGCTAGAATGAATATGCTCGACTCCTGGTAGCCACTACTTTATTTCATCCTCTCATCTACACGTAGTCCTAATAATTGTGATTTAGTTGACTTTCTTATTATCATAAATAATTATTTTTTTTTTTATCAAATTAGTTAAATATATTTTAAACTTATTTTAGAGACAGAAAATATTTGAAAATTTGCAACGATTTTTATTGAGAATGAGAATTGAGAATGAGTCTCTTAATAACAAATTATATAAATAATATATTTTCTTTTAGCTTTCAAATATAGATATCTATTATTAATTACAAAAAAATTGTAAATATTATAAAGAATTTCATGCAAGACTTTACTAGTTCAACATAAATGAAAAAGTATAATTTAAAATAAAAAAGGTGTAGAACTAAATATTTTCATTTAATTTTGACAAAAATTGTTTTTAAAATCTTAAATTTAATTTTAGATTCATGTAATTTTTAATTAATCAATCGACCTTTTTACTACACTCATTTTAAAATAAATTTTATTTTATTTATTATTTTCAAAACCAATTTTTAATTCATTTTTCTCGTTATAAATGTCAAATATTTTATATTCTATACTTTTACTAGTTCATGTTATCATCATAAAAATCATTTGTTTAAATATATTGATTAAGGTGTGATAATTTTATCTTATTTTTAATTGACAAGAAGTGTCCAATTTTAATATCCAATTCTAATGTAATAATTTTCTTATTGAAATGTATAACCTTAGCAATATATATATATATATATATATACCACAAAGAGAAGATAAAATGTCGTTTATATATATATGAGGTTATGGATATCCTTTTAAAAAAAAAAACGAACAGCTCACAGATTTAAAATCTAAATCGGATGAAAAGTTATTTTAAAGCTTTCTAACACTTAGTGGCAAGGTTTAGAAAATTTGATCTGACTTTGAACCAGTAGTAGAGGGGAATCAAGGTTGGACGGTTAAATTGGCGTTGAGCCGGACGTTGAATTTGGTGACATCAAAAATATAAAAAAATATTAAATATAATTTTAATGATATAAAAATTAGATGAAATTTAATATGAAGTCTTATTTGGTGCGGTGATGTTTTGAAAACGCGCCTGAACTGTTTGGTTAAACTGTGTTTTGATTCAAAATGCTGAAAATAAGGTTTTCACACCGCACTTATCTAAGTGCGGTAGAACACTTTTCTGGATACGGTCTGACTGACTTCTCCAAAAAAAAAATAAAAATTTATAATAGCCATCAAACCTAGCTTATCAACAGATTATTTTTAATCAGCTTATCAGTAGATTATTCAATAAGCTGCAGCTGACCCAACCCAAACAGTATCTTAGTTGGAAATGTATAAGAATTTTTTATTTCAGAAATATGTTTATCATAATCAAATCATGTTGTTGTCTTATCAAAAGCATATTTTATAAATATTGTAAGAGATGGCGTTTCATTAATTAAAGTGTTAGTTCATTAATACTGGGATGGCGCAGAGAAGTTTATAATATAGCGTTTTATTAATAGCTTTCCCGCAGAGTTTAGTTGGGTTTTGTACTTGTTCCTCTACTTGCTACGGTGTATGTAATAGAGGTTTAGCAGTTAATTAATAATTAATTAAGCCATGCTAGTACACAGTTAACAGGCGCACGCGCATAATTAAAGTGCGGCGCGCCGTATAAAACAAGCACGCGTGTAACAACTAACTGTGCTCGGAGCATTTAATTAGGTTTTATTCCACTAAATAACTTTTTTGCTTTAATAAAGCTAATCCGATTTAAGGAGCTCTTTCATTAAAAAAGCTTTATGGGGAGGAATATTTTCTTATATTTTTTTCGTTAAGTAGGAAAAACAATGGTCATAAAGTAATAAAAGCGGTTTCATGGACTAATTTAATCCTTAAAAAAGATGATTATAAAGTTATGACAGACAAATTGATTTTTTAAAATTTATGATGGAATATATATAGATTAAGGAGTGACATGAGGTTATTATACGAGTCCGACCATCCCCGATGCGCTTAACAATTCGAGTGTCACACCCTTCACCGAGGGAAATCGAATCTCAGACCAGAGAAGACTTCCAACTGAGAAGTAGATGCCCGACTAACTGATATGAGTACGCGGCGCACACAAACACACACGCGCGCGCGCGCATATATACATATATTTTATAGTCACTGTATTTTAAAAAATCAGGTTAAAAAATTTTAGTTTCCCACAACATAAATTTTGAAAATTTCTAAAAAAAATAGCAACAAAACACTACCTTAAAAAGAATTATGCTGGTGGTTTGAAATAGAAAACAGGCGTAAAACAGTCCCAAAAAGAACTTTATTCTCAAACCGATTTGATGCCAATTTAGAATAAGCTCTAATTTCTTAGATTAAATTTTGATTCATCAATGTTTTCTATAGATAAACTAATTGAATTCTTATTTGACCATGACATAACACATCAACTTTTATTAAAAGTTAATATAATTAAAAAAAATATTCAATCTCAGTGACTTGTCAATTATATATCTATCTATATATATAATCTAAAGTTCATTCATGTTCAACCTTATTGAGGCTGACTCAATCAAAGATTTGATCTAAATTAATCAAATTTAAATCCGATCAAACTTTAAACTGACACCATATCTGTAATACTAATTAATGAGTGTTGAAAAATTCCAATGGTAGAGTGATTATTTAGAATCTTAAAGTTGCACGCAAGT